CCCCGTGGCCGGGGTGGTGATGGGTCGCTCACCCGCAGAACATGAGGATGTTGTAGAGCAGGGGGTCCTCGGGCAGGGGGACCATCTGCTGCAGACACAGCTGCTCGCAGCCCCCGTTGAAGCCATCTGAGCAGTCCACACCGATGTGACGGTCGTAGCAGCCTGTACCGTCCTTCATTGGGCTCAGTCCCGTCGGGCACTGGCAGGGGTGGAGGAAGTGAGAGGTGAAGCCCCCATGGAAGAAATCTGGCCCTCGGGCTGAGGCGGAGCGGAGGGCTCCAGTGCTGCTCTCCGTTGGAAACTGCAGTGTGAGCAATGGTTGGGGGCTGCGGGATGGACGGGGCAACACCCCCCATGGCTGCAGATATTCCTCCTGTACCGAAGCCTCTTTGCAGCCTTGGTGAGTGCAGCCCCCGGGGCGGGAGCCCCCCAAGCTTCCCCCTACCGAGGTAATGTGCTGGCGGCAACTCTGCTCACCAGCACACACCTCTGGTGACCACCAAAGCAATGCTGCCCAAATCCACCATCTGCCCCACATTCACAGCCTCCCCACCCCGATGTCCAGCTCTGGTGTCATCGCAGCAGGATGCCCCAGCCCCACAACCCCTTCTGTTTCGGGGCACATGTTTCCCCGCACAGCAAAGCAGCTGCGGTGGTGGCAGGGGACACGTATGAGCGATGTGGGGCCTCCTGTAGCCAGCAAGCAGATGGGCTCTCTCTCCCGCATGCATGCATGCAGCAAGAGATGTCAGCTTAACCTTCTCTTCCCGCTGCAAAACTGACCCCAAAATATCCACTCTGAGGCAATGGGAAGGGAGGAAGGATGCAGTCCTTCCCCTTCTGCCCTCCCCCTCCTTGCTCACACCAAAGGGGATTTGCAGGTCCCCGGGGGCCACGCACCACGCAGCCCGTCGAGTCCAGCTTGCGGTCTGAGATGCAGCGGAAGTTCTTGCTGCAGCCCCCGTTGTCTCGGGAGCAGTCGCGGACGGGGCCGAAGGAGTCAAGGAGGACCTCCAGGCTGTCGAAGGAGGAGGAGGTCATCAGTTCTTCCCTGTGAGGAGGAGGAGGAGGATGAGGAGGTGTGTCACTGCTCCAACAAGACACCACGAAGGTGTGCATGACCGCGGTTGCTGCGTGGGTTTTTCTGGAGCTCAGGTTTCCCTCGGTCTGACAGCAAAGTGAATGGCAGCCAAGCTTTTAGAGGGATGCAGGAGCTACTGAGATGATGAGAGCTACCTCCAAAGGCTCAGCTTTCCAGGCACTAAAGAGGGACAGGTTAACGGATGCACTGATCTCCACCAGCAAAATGTGGGGCGAGGGTCGCAGCTCTCATCAAGCCCCATGTGCTTTGGGTTAGTCCTCTCGCTCCAGGGATGCACTGCCAATTTTCTTGCTGAAACACCTCCTAAACGCGCTCGCCCTGCCATCGCACCTACCTGACCTCCACTGCATCCTCCATCACCGTCATGTCGGTCTTGCACTTGGCTGAGGGGTTGATGGCCAGCTCGGCTGGTGGGATGACAAAGCTCTTGCTCAGGGGCAGCCACATGCCTTCCCCTAGGGTGTAGGTGAACCTGCCAGGGAGAGCAGCAAAGGCTGACATGGAGGGAAACACCGAGCCCAGAGGGCTGCCTCTACTCAAAATCAAGCCCTTGAACCTCCCCGTTGCCCTGCAGATGGGCCAGGTAAAGTGGGGTGGCTCCTCTGAATGCACCCAAATGACGCCTCAAAAGCACACGTAATTTAGGTAATTAAAAAAAAAAAAAAAAGCACTTCCTTTTTCAGTAGAAATCCTCCTTCAGAGCCTAAACCTTGCTCTCATCACGAATGGAGAGGAGGAATTGGCTGCTTGGCATCCAGCATCCCACATGGCAGCTGTAGTAGGAC